TCAAACGACAGACTCGTGCTTCAAATTGAGAGCAATTTTAACGCTAAATTATAAGCTCTATTAGGAGTGGATATACATTTGACGCCAACAGTTAAGCCTGAGATCAATTCAAAAACATAAATATACGGCCAAAACAGCTAAAGACAAGACAACAAACTATTCATTCCCATGGATTCAATGGCTTAAACATTGAGTGAATATAATTAACGTAAACTACAATACAGTTTGAGTCATAAATGATAGCAATTCGTGCAAAGCGTACAATCAGTACAAACAGAAAACGTAAAGGCAATTGAACTCCAAATCTAATGTTTTCAATACAGTGTCTATCAATTGGATTCACTATTAAAATACATTGAATTACATGCGAGTCTAATGGGAAGCGAAAAGTAAGTCATGCGATCAATACTTATGTTTACAATCAATTAAAAACCAATTAAAGTCACACAAAAAACAACAAAACACAATCGCCGGTTACCTCCTTCATCCTCCGAGTCACTCATGAATGTCTCGTGCATTGTCTCCGGAGCCACCACTTTGTACTTCTCTTCAGTCACTGTAGTTGTGGTCGTCTTCACCACGAGTTCGGTCACCACTTTCAGCGTCTCGACGACCGATATATAGCCCAAGCGTTGGGCGATCGACAGCGCTGTCTGGCCCTGACTAGTGATGGCGTTCGGNTGTACTTCTCTTCAGTCACTGTAGTTGTGGTCGTCTTCACCACGAGTTCGGTCACCACTTTCAGCGTCTCGACGACCGATATATAGCCCAAGCGTTGGGCGATCGACAGCGCTGTCTGGCCCTGACTAGTGATGGCGTTCGGGGAGGCCTTGTGCTCGAGCAGTGTGTTGACGATGGCTGTGTGTCCCTGTTGTGCCGCCTGATGTAATGGTGTGTAGCCATGCTATCAATCAAAAACACACAATATTTCATTATTCATTTACGTAATCATTTAATTGCTTTAAACACTTACAGCATTGGTTGCGTTCACATCAGCGCCTGAAGGCATAGAAACAATAAATAATAAAAGCAATTAATTCATTGAAAGTTAATTGTTTGGTAGAAAATGCAATCACAAAACAAGACATACCGTTCTGTAGGAGGAATCTAACCATATTGAGTTGCCCAAAATGGGAGGCCACGTGCAGCGGTGTGTAACCGGCTTTGGTTTGTGGCGATATTTCCACCCGATTTCTGGCCAGAATTGTCGCCACATTCACTCTGTCCTCCTGAGCGCACAAATGCAATGGAGTCAACGAGTTCTTGGCCTTCACGTTGATGTCTGCCTGATGTCCAATGAGAAGAGTGGCCATTTCGTTGTGGCCCTCCTGACACGCCAAATGCAATGGCGTAAAACCGGCCTAAATTCACAACAAAAAATCACAATTAATAAATTGTCTTAAAATTGATCACAAGAATGGCTTACTTTAGACTCGGCGTTAGCTTTGGCGCCGTACTCGAGAAGAGTGGTCGCGATATCCATTTGGTTCTTACGGGCGGCGATATGGAGAGGACAGTAGCCGTTCTTAGCGGTCGCGTGAGGCGACGCCCCCTTTTCCAGGAGCAGTAGCGCCACATTGACGTGAT